TTGGTATTTGATGACAATCTAGCCATTTCTCATACTCCTTTTAAAATGCTACTGGGCCTCCTGTAGCCACAGATTATAAAAAGAGGAGTATGACTTCTTCATGGAAGAAAAAGTAGAAGATATCTTTAGGGAAGAGACAAATTATCTTATCAAACATAAGTTGTTGTGTGCCTTCAAGTCATTTTTGACTTATGGTGGCCCTAAAGATACCTTATCATAGGTTTTCCTTGGCAAGAATTGTTTGAGATTTGCCATTGCCTTCCCCTGAGGCTGAGAGCATGTGACTTGCCAGTCACCCAGTGGGTTTCATGGCTGAGCAGAGAATCGAACCCTAGTATCCAGAGTCACAATCCAGCACTCAAACCACTATGACACACTGGTTCTTATCAAGTGTAAACTAGCCAAGAATATATAAATTAACTAAACAGACATTTAATGCTTATTTCAAAAGCTTTCTTCAAGCACAGATAAAATGAGACTGGCTTTAATGTATCTTTCTTTCTCATGATGTAGCTTTAATTTAAATATTTATTCTATTCATAGCACTTTCATTTTTAAGGTGTGAAGATTGTGTTGAGATAATCTAAATTGGCCTACACATTTTATCCAGCCATTTATGCTGCATTGAGACAATTTACTTAGAATAACCTGCCACCTAGCAATGTTTTTCCTGATAACCTCTCAGTGGCTTTGCCACCTTTTGCCACTAATTTTAACTTGGTATAGTGAGCAAAAAGGGCACCGTTCATATGTTTAACTGTTTAGTATGTTATAGTTATCTTCCAAGAAGAAAATCCTTTCAATATTTTTGCTTCAGCGTAGTGTAGACTTTAGGCCTAAGCAGACTGCCAGAAATAGTGCACATTAAATTGAGGCACTGCTCTGGCTCAGTGCTAGGGAGTCATGGGAATTGTATTTTTTTTCTGGGACATTGAGCCTTCTCTGTCAGAGAGCTCTGGTGACACAATAAATTACAGTTCCCATGATTCCCTAGCACTGAGCCAGGGCAGTGCCTCAATTTAATGTGCACTATTTCTGGCAGTCTGCTTAGGCCCTTTGTTACCTCTCTAATAATCTTTGAATACATTGTAAAGACTTTTTAGGAAACTTTTGGTTTAGACTTTAGAGCATCTCTGGGGAACATGTTACTTGACAATTGTTGATGGACTTCAACTCCCACAATTCCTTACCATTGGATATGCTGACTGGAATTATTGCTGAAGTGTGACAACTTACTGAAAACCACACAGTCTCCACTGCTATTTTAAGGCTGGCATCCAACTTAAACCTGTGTAAGGCATTTGTTGGCTATTGAAGAAGGTGGAAATCCTCTACTGACCTCATACTGCGAACAAACTCTACTGCTCTCCCCAAAATATTGGGAGCAAGGGGAGCAATAGCAGAGAAGTGTTTAGCTGGATTCCTGTAGTAATTACAGCAATTACGTCATTCCCTGGGACCTGCAGACTATTCTCTGTATGAGGTTTGATGTCCTGATGCAGGGGTAAGCAAACTGTCCCCTTTAAGGACCAAGGGACATCAGCTCCCAGAATCCCAGACTGTTGGCCAACATGGCTGAGGCTTCTGGGAGCTGAAGTCCCTCGACCCTTAAAGGGGACAGTTTGCCTACCCCTAATGGATGTAGATCCTGGAAGTCCTGGAGGACTTCCAGTGCTGTGTTTCCAGATATATAGTTAAAAGTTTCTCTGCCACAACCCATCCACTTTCTACAAGCCAGAAAATGGCTGCATGGGGTGGAGAGGTGCAGCTGGTAAAAGTTTTTCAGGATGATAGGAGAGGAGACATGGCACAGTTCTGCCTGGCAGACATTTTCACTATCCTCCCTCATCCAGTATCTTGGTCTTAGCATCCTCACTCTGCTGCTAGCTGCCATTATAACAATAGTAGGGAACCTCTTTGGGTCTGCAGGCCAAATTAGCTTCATAAAAATTCTCAGGGTTTCACGTTTCAACTGTGAGCAGGCCAAAAGGCAAAAAGTGAGACCCCTAATACCAGCCTATTGTATCATAAAGCTCTTATTGCTAGTAGCTAATCACTAAAAGAAGAATGTCAACCTTTTGGGAAGGGGAGCTGTAAAAAAGCATAGAAACTACTGAATAGTGATATAAAGTGGGAGACAGCATGACTTTTTAAAGACCCCCTGAAGCACCAGATTGTCTTGGCAAAAAGGATCTCCAGCCCTTTAGTTCTAAAGCCTGAGGGTCTATACCCTTGACTTCCAGTCATGGAAACAGCTGGTGAACACTGCAGACTTTATTCCCAAGCAGGATGTTTTTTACAAAAAGTTTCCTTGCTGCAAAGCTATATACTGGGCAAGAACAGTTAGCTTGCATGTATGAACTGGCATATAGATGAGGGGAAATTCAAGAGCAGTATGGATCAGCATTGATCGTGCAGTGGCTCAAATGGTTAAGACGCTGACTCTGTTGATTGCATGATCAACAGGTTGGCAGTTTGAGGACTGGGTGCTGCATGATGGGGTGAGCTCCCATCATTAGTCCCAGCTTCAGCCAACCTAGCAGTTTGAAAGCATGCAAATGCAAGTAGATAAATAGGTACCACTTCAATGAGAAAGTAAACAGCGTTCTATACAATTGTGCTGGCCACATGATCACAGAGTAGTCTCTGACAATGCTGCCTCTTCAGCTTAGTAATGGAGATGAGCACCGCCCCCTATGGTCAGACATGACTTGACAACCTTGTCAATGAGGAATACTTTTTTACCTTATAGATCATGTAATTTGCTTATTTTGGATTATGAAATGCATTCCTGTACTTTCCAGGAACCTGATTGCTTCAGTCCCTGTATATCTGTTTTTCTATTAATAGAGGAAAGCTAAAGACCAAGAATGCAGAAGTGTCTTGGAAATCATTTCCCAAACTAGTAAAATAGTAATAATGCATCTGTAGCAGCAGAGATGCTGTAAGTTTTCCAAATGGGAAACATGACATAAATAGAAACAATCTATTGCTGAGAAAGTCTGATGGGTTGATGGTGATGCCAAAAAAGAAGAATGAAAATGTTTGCAATAAACATTACAGCTTGACATGAATTACACATCCACTTTTTTTAAAAGGTCAGGTGGGAATTCTTTCTCAAAGACTGCTGACGTTCAGTCACATGCCATTTCCCTATCCTTATCATTAGGCAAAATTAAGCAGGAGCAACAGAGGCATATAGTGAAGGGTAATAAATATGGACCACCTAATGGTATTCTTGCTATCTGTGACAATAACCTCTCATTCTGACATCACAACCTTTAACAGAGTAAGCTGAAGTTCAAAAGAGACTTGATTCCAATAAAAAGAAAGGGTTTAATCTGATTGTAAGGTCAATTTGACCACACAAAGCAAAGAATATTGAATAAAGTACAATTTCTTTAGTAGTCTTAAAGAAGTAAAAAAGAGTGTGTGAATACCAAAGCCAGGTGGTGGTGGTAGTGATGATGATGATGATGATTTCTTACCTGCCTTTCCCTAGGGATTAAAATGGAGAACGACAACAGATTGAAATACAACACATGACATCACTTAAAAGAGTATATTGAACCAAAGCATATTAAAACAATCAATCATACTTCAAAACCCATCATTTTAAAATCCATCATTTAAAGTCATCATTTAGGCCTGCTGGAAGAGACTGGTCTTTAGTGTTGTTTTAAATTCAAGCAGCATATGCAGCTGTCAAATCTCTTGTCACATGCCTTTCTACAGTCTGGGAGTGACTGGGGGAAAAGTCCTCTGAATGACAGTTGCCAGCCTAGTCCTGACTGGTTGGAGTAAATGTCCCTGAGAGGATCTGAGTATATGGAGCAGATTATATGGAGAAAATAATCCTGTAGGCAACCTGGGCAAAACTGTGTAGGGCTTTAAGGTAACAACCAACACTTTGTTCCTCGACTGAAAATTATTTGTCAACCAATTTTAATATTGGTTTAATATGATCACTCCTAGGTGTAATCATATTAGGAGAGTAATGCCAGTAATCTGGCTGCCATGTTTTAAAGTGGATGAGTAAAATGAAGCTCTCCAGATGTTCTTGTTTTACATCTTCCAGCATTCCTTGCTACTGAATGTATTGGTTAGTAGTGGTGTAAGTTTAAGATCATTGTAGGCCCTGAGATTTATAGGCCAAAATCTGAGATTTAGGGACACCTAGAGATGCATTAAGTATCAGCAATAGTTGATCACTCCTTGTCATTCAAACACACACAGAAAGAACATATTTTCTTGTTTAGAAATTGAGGCAGAAATCTTAGTTCAAGTTGGGGCTGATTTGGACCCATAAGAGGCAATTTTTATCAAGAGGAAGCAAGGAGAATTCACTTCCTCATCACCTCCTGATTAAAAGAAGGCCTCACCTTGTCCTAAATTGTCCCCATGGGCACAAAATATTGTGGAAATGCACCCCATGACCCCTAGAGGACATTTTGGAAAAAATGGAAAATTGTTTTTGAGCCAAACATGGAAGTAATACCATCCACATCCCTTAGAAGGCATTTGGGGACATTTTGGGGGAAAATGGGAAAAAAATCTTTGCAAATTGTAGTGACTAATCAATCCTTGTAAATTGTTGACCTGGAGATCTGTACATAGTCCCTCACTCTTCCCTGAAGCTGAGATTCCCAAAACTGGAGAATTTTCAACCTTGTCTCCCACCTGCACGATAGATGAAAACTGGAGACTTGGGTCCAGACTTTGGGATCTGGCAACTCTACTGGTTAGGGCTGATGTGAGCTGTAGTCTAACAACATCTGAAGAGCCTCTCTTTGCCCATTACTCCCATACAACATAGCACAAAGAACTGAAGTTACACATGAAAGCAGCAGTGCTATGTTTGTGAGGTCCTTCAGAGCTGCAATCCTCACATGACTCTATACACAACAAGGCCTCTCATATAGGGGGTGAGAGCAAAAAGCAAAAGATTGGATAGCAGAGTGAAAAGACAGAATTGCAGGTGAGGCCAGGAAATAAAACATCCAAAGGTCCCTACACTGATTTTAAAAAAAGTAGCATCCTACCACATAGCAGCCTCTCTGCCATGACAATCATCATGGCATGACAGGACCTATCCAACCATTCCATCAAAAGTGCTATTCAGGTTCAATCCAGGTCAGTGCTAACAAAGCAGATCCTGGCATCAACAGACAACAGCAAAACTCAAGGGTGTGTCTGCTTCTTTAATTTCACAGTATAGCTGCAGGGAGCAGACTTAACACACACACATATTTCTCTCTCTCTCTTCAATGTGTAATCATCAAAATCTCCCGGGACAAAGGGCAACATCTAACTTTAAAGAAACATAACATAAAGAGACATACAATAGGAATAGGATTGTCCCAGCATCTGAAAAGTTGTTG